GAAAACTAGTAAAATAGACAAAATAATTGATCTCAATTTCTGAGAAACAGTATAAGGCATTATAAGATCCAAAAGGTTTGTCAATATTCAAAAGGTTTATTAGTATTTCAAGCCTAAGGAAAGCTTGCTGTTCTTTATAATAAGTAAAGACATTGTATACATTATAAGGCATAAAAGATTTGTTCACATTATAAAGGTACATAAAGTTTTTTATCCCTTACAATAAGTAAAATGACTTATATTTGATCTTGAAAATGATGAGGAGTATATACTATAGGAAGGATGGTATTAATTATAATGTATGCAAATTAATATAACAGTCTAAAAGACTGTTCCAAACCAATATACATTTTTCTGCCTTATAATGTTGACAGAAGCCTTACTAAAGAATTGCAATGTATATACAAACTCTACTTATATTCATTTTACTTTTTTGCCCTTACATGCATTAATAATGATTCAAATTATTTATATTTTTGTGGCAATATTACAATGTTACTAAATACTAATTATAGCACTAACAGGTGCAGGAGTGAGAAGAAAAGTGGTGAAAGCAGAAAGCATACTGTATGAGTGTCAGAGCAAGAAATGAGACAAACAGCTGATCTTGTTAACACAAAGCAAGGGAAACAGTTACAAGACTTGCTAAATGAGGCAAGTAAGGTGAACATCAATGTGTAGAATTAGAAAGTGGAAAAACGAACCTAAACCTTATCCATGTGTGTATTGTCTGGCAGGTGAGTGTCTTACATTTGAGTAGCCAGTCCTTGACCCTGGCCAGCCAATCCTCCTGCTTAGGACTGTCCACACCCTTTGCAAGCCTTCTGAGCTCTCAAAATGGCTGCAATTGATGACTCCTTGTCCTTCTCAGGTTCAATAGTGAGCAATTCACCAGAGGAGCTGAAAACCTGCCTAGAAACCCAGTAGTTAGTTAATGTAGCTTTAAGTAAATTTAAAAATGTATAAAACATACCTATTCTACCAATTAAGTGTGTCCTAGACCCATAGAGACTTGTGGTCTTCAAAAAACTTGAGAATAGTGTAATAAAACACTTTGAAATTAAAATTTTCATTAACCTTACTGAAGGTTTCAAGTGTTAAAATAAAAAAGCACACCTATCATATTAAAAGTATTGTCAGTGTTGCTAGATTATATTACTATCACAGTCTGAGTACTTACCTGGACACATATGTAGGCAATCATCTCTAGGGTGACAGACTTCATACCTACAATCTCAGCATTATTTGCCTGCATTGTTTTACCTTTACTACCAGACTCAGCATCTGTAGAACTTGGGCTTGTAAAGATCAGCTGAAGGCACTATAAAAGAAGTATCAGTATTTGTAAATAATAATAGGAGTGTACTTACTTTGACAAGAAAACAGTCTCAGAATAGGCCCTTGTCCATTACTTCTGGATTGTATGACCCTTCCTCATACAGGAACACAGGGAATGACCTATGTGTGATTGGGTATTTTTTTGACTTTACATTGTCTTCAAAACTATACAGTAAGGATATGAGTAAGAGTGTTCATTTTTTGTTTGACTTCATCTGTTAGTCTGCATACCTTTCCTTACTACTGTGTGCATACAGGAGTAGTATTAGTACAATCATCTGTAACAATTGTGGATAGTGTATTGAAACTCCTGTGTAGTGTCTAAGAGAAGATCACAGGTGATTTGTTAAGTTTGAGGGGGAGCTAAACCACAAGTCTTAGGAGACTAGAGTGGTTCTGAACAGGTGCAAGTTCTTCCAGTGCAGTTGCAACCTTGGAAGAGTAATGTGAATAACAGAAAGTGCACTTTGCAAAGCACACAACAAACAATCTGATACAGAAAACAACAAAGACTAAAACTATGCCTCATGCTAGAGGACTTTGAGACATGAGACAAGAGCTAAATCAATGGGTGAACTATCTGAATTCCCCCTGTATCTAGTACATGAGTAGCTGTATTTATAGTTTTCTGAGTTCTGGAAAAGTGTAGTACTAACAGGGAAATGCCATGACTGAACAAAAGAAAAATAACAAAATATACAAGAACAAATAAGAGAACCTTTTGCTAGAGGTTGGAAGAAAATAGGGTGAAAATGTATGAGGAAAATTTTAAGTAGTCTGCATTCTAGCCACAGGAAATGTTATGCAAAAGGGAAAAGCAAGATTTACATTGAAAGAAGTAGAAGGTTCTCATACTGTTATCATCTGATTGGTACAGACAAAGTGTAGAGAGTTTCAAGATTTCTGGCAGTCTCCTGAGATCAACACTTTGATTGCCCTAATGTCCTATCTGATTGGAAGATTGTAGTACTTTGATCTAGACAATAATGATGTGATAGTTTGCTGAGCCACTCACTGTGACACAACTTGTGTTCTGAGCCTGTGATAAGCACATGATCCATACATCCTGTAGAGAAAACAATGTGTGTAAGCCAATTCTGAGACTGTACACTCTTACAGTTCTGTTTGCAAATGCTTACAATACAGAATAGTTAGGTGTTCTTAGAGTAGGCTTCTATGAGTCACATAGGTGTTTGGAATTGATTGCTGTGATTGTCTGCATGTGATGTACAGTTCTTAGTATGATGCTAATTGTTTCATCTTCTAGCATGTCTGCTTGTGACTGTCCACAGTCACATGGTTGATTTAATGATTGGCAGGCTGAATGTAAGTTCTGTGTGTGTGTGAACATTGTTGCTTATTCTTCCTGCTTCCTTCTATCACTCTTACTATATTATTGCTACTCCCTAGCAAATCCAACAGTAAGTGTTACACTCTTTTCTACTCTTTTTATACTGATTTTGTGTTAGCATTTATTCTGGATAAATGTGTCATATGTCTTAGACATGTCTTCTGAGACATACATCCAAGACACACAATATTAGATAGCATATATAATACTTAATATAAGGACAATGAAGCTCATAGGACACATATAACAGTACACAACACATTACCA